AGATCTCCGAGTATCGGAGTCGATCGGGTTAATTTTCGAAAAGGAGGATCGGAGGTTATTTCGCGTTACGTTCGATCGAGAATCGAAGATGTTGTTGGAAGGAGGTGGGGCTAAATTCGAGAGATCGTTCGTGTCTGATGCAATGTTTGAAGCAATGTTCATGTGCATTGCATTGAGAGGGAATATTTGGAATATCGATTTAATTCACCACGCTTTATTCTTCGAAAATTGGATTGGAACTGGGAGGAGCTTGTATCTCGGATCCGATATGCTGTTGAAGGAAGGATTAAATTTTGAGAAATTGTTACGGCTTACACGTATCTTGGAGAAGTCTGTGCGTTTGAAAATTAGAAACAAACACGAAGTTGTTTGAAAGAATTGGAATATATCTCGAATTCATCTCGCGTAATTCTTTGAAAGGAAGCGGAAATTTTTTACTTCAGACGAATCGTGTACGCTTTGAAAAGAAGTTGAAGCAAGGAAAATTAAATTCCAGATTGTTGAACGTTGTGCTTCGTGTTTGTGCATATGAATATGTTAAAAAAAAAAGAAAATATCTAATTTTCGAAGTATGCTGGAGTTAATTATCATTTGTTGCGTGGGAAAAAGATCGGTATACGAGATATTTTACTTAACAAGTTTGAAATGAAAAGAATTAAATTTTCTAACTAGAATTAGTTGAGTTTCGTTGTATAAAATTCATCGATGGGGAGGAATGTATGGGAATTTTCGAGTAACATTATTTTTTCCCCTTGCGAAATACGGGAAAACTAGTTTGGCTTTTTGAATATGGAAGCGTTTCATTATACTGGAAGCGATTTAATAATAAACTTATTTTTAGTTTATCGATTTCCACGATACCTCGAGTTATAAAATAAAAGTGACCAGTGTTTGTTGCATGAAAAAGTTAAAAATATATTTCTCGAGGGTGTTTTATATATATACTTAACTCGAATTAAAATAGAAATCATAGTTTCGAATAATTTAACGACGTTCGAGTGAAAACGACGAATCAAATTTTTATTCGTAAAAAGAAAAAAAAAAAATTAACATAAGATATGATAATAAAGATGTATCTTTTCAATTCTTTTTTTTTTTTTTTTTAAATTATTTTCCATTATCAACGCGCATCGAGAGAATGCGAATCGATCTCTTTTGAGAAAATAAAAGAAAAAGAAAGGCTGGCTAAATCTCGAGAAGGTAAATATATATCCAGCTTAGAAAGAAGCTTAGCATCCCGAATAGAATTAATGAGACGAATCAATATTGGGATAAAATATGAATATGCAATCTTGAAAGATGATCTCTTAGCAACCCTGTATCACGAAGAAAGTAGGTTGAATAATTTAAAGAGAGCATAAAAGAGTTATTTCTGTTCTGTGTAATTTTGTTGATCTTCGAAATCGCGAAAGGATTGCGTCCAACGAAATATCCAAAAACGTAATTAAAAGAAAAATTTTAGAATTTTTAAAAATTAAATTTAAATTTTTTAAAATTGATTCTGTTTTATCGTTACAATCAAATATATTAAAAAAAAAAATAACGATAGAAAAATTTCAATCTTTGGCTAGTTTTGCTATTAACGTCTTATTAACCTTGAGCTCAGCCGAGCCATCATCAGATCAATTTTATATAAATGACATTTAGTACCCACAACTCAGATATGGATCAAAAATAACTAACATCGCTTTTCGATCCACGACACGAAGTTTAAATATATTTATAACCTTCCAAGACGAATAAATATTCCAAACAATTCCTATTTTATTAAATATATTAAAAATAGAATAGCAAAACTTCAACTTGAATTCTTATCAAAAATATCTTTTTTTTTTCAAGAACATAATATAACAAAACTCGAAATTTTCTCGTTAATTCTGTCACACGTTTTATTATTAAACATCTCCAATATTCTTTTTCTTCTTCTTCTCTCAAGAATCAAATAATTCCACACCTTTGTTTCTAAGAAGTAAAACTTTGGGGATAAACTCTGCGAGAGAAGAAAAAAAAAAAAAAAAAAGATTCGTACGCCGTTAGCGACTCTCTTACACGAAAAATATGGCGAGCTTTCCGGGAAGATATGTCGCCACGTAATGCAGTTTGCAAGAATCCTGGCTTACGTAAGTACGTCCCAGGGACGGAGGGATGGAGAGAGAGAGAGAGAGAGAAACGTGGAAGGTCCATTAAATGAGCCACAGGAGGCAGGGGAGATTAGCCGCAAAGGAACGAGAACGCATTCTTCTCGATTCGAGAATCCCCCCTTGAAAAATGTTCTTTCGCTACACAGGCGGTGTATTTATTCCAATGATGAAACACGCGACGAAAACTTTCTAAACAATCGTATATCAATCGTGAAGCGCGAAAAGAAAAAAGATTCAAATATAAAGTAAGTTAGTTTTGATAGGTTTAATTTCGAAAGTCGTTTCTATTTCTTGTAGGGATATTTCGTGAGAAACGGATGTAAAAATTCAATTTCATTCCCATTCGTTTGTTGAATAATTCTCTGATGAAATAAAATTTATATTTTCTAATAATGAATCTTGAAGATGATATTTTATATTCGTATCACGTAGCACGATGATGTTCTCTTCTGAGAAAAAGTGGAACATTCGCTTGCGTGGAATTACGTGGAAAAAAAAAAAGGTATGGAAATGATTTTAAAATGAAGGTTTTCCTTTCATCTTACAATTTTATAATATTTACGTTTGAAGTATAGCTGATTATTCGGAAAAATTAATTTTATAAATGCTATTCGAGAGAACGTGGACAGAGTTTTCTTCGTTATATATTATTTATGTTAATATTATGATATTCGTGTATTCGTCTTAACGAATCTTTTCTTTCTCGCGTAAATTCTCTGTTACGAAATCGATTTGCATTCGTTGCATCGATTTTTTTATTCTTAAATGTTAACAAAAGCCGGGGACTCGGGTTTCACTTTCTCGAAATGAATTTTCTTTTATTGCCTTCACGCGGGGAAAAAAAAAAAGTTAACCATGAAAATTAACACCGTGGAAGCACTTTTATGAAAGCATCGTACGTTTGCGAGCGTAAAAGCAAACATAACGATATTAGAAGAGAAGAGAACGTTGTAAAGTTAATATTAAAGAATGCTTTTTAACTCTCTTTCAACTTAATTTCCCGCAAAGTAATAACCGATACATCAAATTATTTCGTTCATCTTTATTTTAATATAATTGCTTTATCGTTACTTCGTAAAGAATATTTCGTATCACAAGAATCTTTAAAACATAATCTATTCGTTTATCGTGTTTTTTTTAAAAGAAAATTTTATTTCTTTAAATTGATTAAATATTATTTGATATCTTGTTATTAATTATTATTGTTATAAGTTTCTTTTTTCATTCGATCTTAATAAGAAAAAAGAAAAAAAAACGTTCCTTAGATTTGCGAGATTACATTCTTTCCTGTTTTAATGCAAGTAAACGCGTCAATTCGAAAGTTTCTTGCTTCGATTTTTCGTATTTACCGACCGGACATCAGTCGGTAAATTGATCAACTTCCGACATACATATCGAATCGGAAGTGGAAACAACGTCAACAGGAGAGAAACGTCAGAACTGTATTCTAACTGAACAACGCGAGGAAAATAGATTTTTTTTGAAACGTAGAGATAGAAATAAATTTATATTTAATTTCTGATAAAGGAGAAACGTGATATAAAAAAAACAATATTTGTTCGAACATTGAACGAAATATTGTTATAATTGATAACATTATAATTAACGTTACTACAAATATACGTATAATATAATAACTTTCAAACAATTATTATTTCCTCTCAACTTATTTCTCTCCATTCCATCGATTAACTTGCATCACATAATAATATTTTCAACGATCTTTTTTCCAACGAATATTCACCGTAATACGAATCGAATAAGAACGCGATATCGATTCAACTGTTTAACGAAGATCCAACTATTGTACTCGTACACAGGGGCCGAGAAAAAAGGAATGAGGTGTAACGGAATAATTAAAAGTTCCTTACAATGGACTTCTCTACCCTACTTCCTTCTATTCTGTTCTCTGCGAAAAGAAAAAAAAAAAAAAAAAACTAAGAAATAATAAGAATTTT